CACATTCAAAATACCTTGTGGTAACACTTACCGTCTGGATACCTTTTCGTTCGTTCACAGTTTACAGACTAAATTACATTCACAGCAATCTAGCCCGGTTAATCATTATGACATTAAGCTTTTTATGAATACTTTGGTAAATACTTTACGTCGCCATCTTAATAAAGCCATATAAACTTGACTGACATCACAGTCTTTTCCACTTCATAGACTGAGGAGTTGAGAACCAGTGAACCTTCAACTCCCGGAGTTCTGAAAGTTGAAGCGCGGTTTTGCCACGATTTGCATGTAAGATTTATTAGTTCTCTAGCCATACTCAATTGCTTTCTTATAGGCGAGCAAATTTTACATTAAAATTGATGTATCAAAGTTGAAGATGAGTTAAACATTGGATGATGATATTTTTTATTATTCGTATAACTCAAACAATACCGAATCCATTTGAGATATATATGGCCTTCTGATGGACGGTTTGTTTACCTTAAAACAATGGAAAGCATTCACACTTAAATATCAAAAGCTAGTTTAACGGGTAAAGGGGTTTAGTAGTCTGTCTCGGTGATTAATTTGTTGATACAACAATGGACAAACGGCAAAACAGATGGACTTATTTGAGAATGAGTCACAAACACCAGACACGTCTAATTTTACGTTTATAGAGATGCGTTAAGGGAACATTGATCGCTACCATTGAGACTATCGTGTTTCTACCGTTGAGTGACTGCGAGCAAACGACTGCTCCTCGTCAAGCAGCCATTGAAATGCGTTACGAGCATGTTCGTTCTGTAGCTGCCTACTATGACGCCTCCGTTTTTGTTTTTACCAAACGACCGAGGTGAGTCCCACCGATCTTCCCCTTCCAGTATGGTTCTTTATCCCACACTTGGCTAGACGAGATCTGCGCAAATTTTGTCTTCTTATTAATCTTTCTTGAGTAAATCGAAAACACATGCGGTGCATTTGTGCGTGTAAATGCATGCACATGGAAGAAAAATTAAGAATAGTGAAGCAAACGATTTCTTAATTGCAAACTGAAGTTGAACCCAACAGCTGTCTTAATAAGGGATCCCCGTTTCTCGATAAGTGGCTGCACATCGAAGAACGACTGTCAGTTTGATGCAGCTAACGATAAATTAAGCATTAAACTCAGTGCCAGCTCATAGAAATTGGTGGTAAATAAAGTGCATTGTTGCATAAGATAGTAACGATTTTTAGAAGCGGGGATTGGAAGACTTATTAGCAAAGGGCAAAAGTTAGTTGAAATACTGAGGTGTGGGGATTGTTTCCTCCAAAATTGCGAAGTTCCTGCATAATACGCCTGCTAGGAAGGTATCGTTTGTAATGATGATCATTTTCGCATGCTCAGATTATCGAGGCAGTGCGCCTATGTTTCACCTTCGGAAGGGACCAAGCACCACATGCTTTCAACGGCCGCGTCTTCATTGAATACTGTCGCATCAGATGAAGGTCAGTCCTTCGAAGGTCGAGTTTGATTCCATCATGCTCTCTATCTTCATTTGGTAGTCTCAATCAAGAACCTGGTTAAATGATGCTGACGCCTGTTGGAGCTCTTTGAAACTACGATTACGAAGACTGTAGGTGTAAGCTAAACCTAATGTCCGTAGATGCTGGCACAAGTCGGGATCTGTGAACGCAATGTATACCTTCAAAATCGTTTGGGTTGCGAAATCGGGTTTTACACGATCCGAGTTGTATTAGTAGAACCTTACCATTTATTAGCATGACTGAATTATTCTGAGTGTCTTGGTAGTGTCAATTTTACCGACCTCAAAGCGAGAGGCTTGTGCTTTAGGAGTACGCATTCCAGAAAAGCCTTATGAGGGGCATTGCTGAATAACGTCCATCGAAATCAGCCGCTCAATTGTTTCAGTTAGCAGCCTGTGGGATAAGCGCTGACAAAGAAATAATGCAGTGCGCCCTCTCTCTGCATTTGTCCTTTTAGTAGCTGAAAAGTGGAGACTTTCTGGGAATCAAAGGAGTTGTAGCGGACCTCTATCACTTATTGTATGTCACCCTAATACTAGAAGGAGCATAACAGTCGGGCGATTTACAGGCACT